AAAAAATAAATTGAAATACTCACCAGCCGGCATTATTTACGGGCAGCTTGGGGAACACGGGTGTAAAAGCGGCTCTAGTCTTCAAAACCGTGTCAGAGAGTGTTCTCAGCAAAGACAGGAACACATCAGTGACACAGTAATGAAAAAGAAGCCAAATAGGGGGAAGAAATGAGGAAAAAAACAGAGGAAACCTGAAAAGCGAAAACAATAGCGAAAAAAGCATTTAAAACAACAAAAATTACACCAAACAACAAAAAAGCAAGATAATAATATAATTCATCAGTTAGTAAAAAAAGCAACTCACCTCATGAAAAACGGTCGAAAAACGGCGATTTTGAAGAAAAAATCGGCTCCATCGAGCCGATAATAATCAGCTGATCGCCGCGCCAGCCGTCAATGGGCAGGCGGCAGAGTACTATGCGGCGCGTGTCGAGCGCACAGGGAGTGAGAGGACGCAGGGTAGCTGGCCCCGCGCCGCCGACAGATTGCTACTTGTGACGCGGTCGCTACTCGCGTCTGCGGTCCTCCGACCGCCCTAATCAGGTCGAAGGATGATGACTTTATATCCATACAGCGCCGCGGCGGCTCCATATCTATCCCTTCGCTGCATATTGTATCGATGAAGCAACATGACCACTAGATACGGTCGTCCATTAGTGAGCAGGCGGGCTATGGTGGGTGTCGGGTCGGTATGTTGCAGCTCGATAAGGGTACCTTCCATGGAAAGGGCGCTTTGCAGCGTGTGAGACGCAGAATCCCGTGCTGCCAGGCGTATTAATCCCGTGCGTCCTAGGGGTTTATCGTGTGCCTTTAAGGAATGCTTTAGTGCATAGTGCTTATGGCGCAGGTCTTAGGTCAAACGAGTGTGCTACTCGTGTTCAGGATGTCAAACCGCTTTCAGGTCCGATTTTTCCAACCAGTTAAGGAATCCTGAAAATGGAGCAACCATTTGGAGCAGATCATGGCATGTTCATGCGCATTCAATCACACTTACCTTCCCCCTCAAAGCTTCATCTCGCCGTTTCTGATCATCCGACGTCCGCGCTGCATGCCTTTATCAACAACTGGAAGCAAATCGTGTCCGAGATAAGCCATCAATGATATCTCCGACACCAATGACGGCCGCTCTAAGCACGCCGTTTTCTCAAAGTTAGGCCGAAATCCCAGAACGGTCAGGAGTTCAGGGGTAGGCCTCCTGAGCGCGAACATCACACTCGTTTTTGCGTGATCACAATTAAAGTGAATGCTGAACGCGACGGGTGCCGACTCACCTATTGCAACGCGCTTGCATGCAAAGAGTTCGGCGAAAAATGAAATCAGCGTTAGAAAAGCGCTTAGCTACACAGGCATCACCATAGTGGACACTTCCAACCTGAGACCTCTGACTTGGACTTTCATTTCAGTATGGTAACGGAAGGATTCTTGCCGTTACCGAAAACACTGCTGATCCCACAGAGAGCACTTCAACACTACGCTTAATGAGTGCTCCATTGTACCGACAAATATTCAATATTAACACAAAAGAGTGTTAATAACATTACCAGTGAAATGCGGACAACTGACCTTTCCTCTCTTCTTCTCCCAGCATTTCGAACTGCTCTTCAGTCAACGCTTGCCGTCCTTTGAGAAAATTACGCGCGTTGAAACTAAAATACGAAATACACATGGTGAACAATGAATAAATAAAAAGAAAAACACGTCATTATATCAATGGTTTGCATTTCGACTGAATCACCGGAGGCCCGGGAATCCACCTTTTAGATCCGCTACTACACTTGAGCGTTAGTATTATAAATGGCAAGAAATACACTGCGTCCCAAAAGTATACTTCCACCCATAAATCTCACAATATCCCTCCCTACACGACGTTTTCAAAAAAAGCCTCTAGGTATAAAATGTGGTAATTACCAGTACCAATTTGCATGCCAACTCCGAGAACTGACTTTCCAGAGCAACTTCAACTTTCTTTATTTTTTGAAAATTTCTCACTCTGACAATGTCCCACAAGTATACTTCCACCGCATATTTTCCCATTGCGTCTCATTTTTTTCGGGTAAACTTTCTCATCATCACTACCTTTGACCTTTTCCAGGTTATGGCGAGAGGGCTTTCACTGTCTGACTTCGAAAAGGGGCAGATTATCGCAAAGAAGGCTCAAGGACTGTCGAACCGTCAAATCGCAAGAGAGTTGGGCCGCAGTCATTATGTTATCAATCATTTTGTCAGGGATCCCGCAGGATATGGAATCAGGAAGAGTTCTGGGCGTCCTCCTTTGCTGTCTGAACGAGATAAATAAACGTCGTATCCTGAAAGAAGCGTCCAACTCCACGATGTCACTCCAATTCCAACTTCACTCGCATCAACGGGACGTTTGAAGCTGTGCTTCGTATCGAAGAAAATGAACTCTTCCGACTACGTAGAGGTAATGCGACGAGGTCTGTTACCTTTCTGGCGAAGGATACGGCATGAAAGTCCTGTATTCGTGCAAGACAATGCACCAATCCATGTCAGCCGGAGCACTCGAGCGTGGTTCAGCCGTCATCAGATCACTCTTTTGCCCTGGCCAGCGAATAGCCCAGACCTAAACCCTATCGAGAATGTTTGGGGCTTCATGGTACGCAGGATATACGCGCACAATGCGCGATTCGAAAATGTCCGTTCGCTCAAGGAGGCTATCATTGATGCATGGCACCATGTCGACAAAACACTTATAGACCACCTCTATTCGAGCATGGACAACCGCATTTTCGAACTTATTCGAAAGAATGGGGCTGCAATAGATTATTGAAATGACGATTTATTAAATTTGTTGTACACTTGTTGTTTTCTGAATCGATTCGTTTAGTGGAAGTATACTTGTGGGACATTGTCAGAGTGAGAAATTTTCAAAAAATAAAGAAAGTTGAAGTTGCTCTGGAAAGTCAGTTCTCGGAGTTGGCATGCAAATTGGTACTGGTAATTACCACATTTTATACCTAGAGGCTTTTTTTGAAAACGTCGTGTAGGGAGGGATATTGTGAGATTTATGGGTGGAAGTATACTTTTGGGACGCAGTGTAGTTGCCATTTACTAATACAGGAGGATCGACGAGTGAACCAACTTTCAACCCCTTAAACTCTGGTTCAAGAGCTAGAACGGCAGTGATAAACTCTCTGCAGTGAGGAGGCTTTGTGTGATTCCTTGTCAATCCAGAAAGTGAGCATAGTTTTAGAAACGCAAAAGTTGCTAGACAACTCTATCTTTTATTTTCATGTCGCTATTCTCTAAAGACTTCAGTTCTGGGATAGTCGAGCCTGTGAGAGGATAAATGGATAAAGTCTTCGCCGTTGACCAATCCGGGATTTGGAATGCGGCACGCATTCTACTTCCATTCAGAATCGTAGGGGCTTATTGAACATAAAGATTTCTGGGGGTCAGCCGATGTAAAAGTCTGTGATGTAAAAGGTTGGTAGCGATTTACCGTCCGCAAAGGGCAGGACTGGTTGGCTTGGACGTGACCGAATGGAGTTTGACCACCCCTCCCCCCACCACCGTGTTCGTGGTAAGCGTACCTCTTGCCACTATATCATTTCCGCTTCAGAGAAACCTTTACAGAAAACAAGACAACATACCGATGCCACTGACTGCGATAGTGGGCGATTATGGCATCCCTATCATCCGCTTCCATGGACCAGTCGCAACACGTACACTTGTATCCCTCACCTGAACAAATTTGCTCTGACAAATAATAACTTGAAGATTCGCGGTGAGTAAGAAAAACAATTAAAATCTGGTATGCCTACCGAGTCCTTCGAAAGGATCAAATTCGTTGTAAGCTTCCGCGCTCTCACTATCCAATGCAGTCGTTTCTTCATCACGAGCAACTTTTGTTGAAAACTCTTCTACAACTCCTGTTTGCCATCGCACATCGTGCAGTGAAATAGACACCTGATGCCGAAATTACGGATTTATTACATATTCATTTCTGTCGCTTTACAGACGACTATATTATAGTGGGTGACTACTTGTGTGTCTCATTAAACCAGCGCAAGTGAAAAGTACCGCTCCCTAGATTCAATAAACTACCGGTTCCGTTGACGAACAACAAACGAGGAACGACGACGAGCACGAAACTAGAAATCAATATCTACAACGCAAAATTGAAAACGGCTCGACACAATGTTGAATAGCACGCCGCACAACCTAGCAATGTACATAGTATAAATAAAAGTAACGGCAAATATATGTATACGGAAAATATAATGCACTTGAAAAGCATCATTAATCTAAACAAAATGAGTGATTTCTTATAGGAGAAAGTAGGAAAAAATTAATCTATAATATTGAAAATAAAGAACATAATCAAAATGTCCTAGAATCTAAGGAAAATCACAACGATAACAAGCAAAATTACATAGGTAGAAGAAGACACTCGCACCATTTGATCTGTTCGAGCGCCTTGAGGGTCTCGTTCGGCGCCAGTACCATCAAGGAAGAAGATATAGATATAGAGTTCAAGTGAAAACAGTAGGTTCTATGGAAAAAAGTTTTGTTCATTTTTAAACCTCCCAGACAATCTGCAGCACCTGAACAGACGAAGAATAAGTGAAAGACCGATTGAATTGCGCATATGATAAATACAGTTAGATGGAAGTGGGGTCTCTTCATGCATTCCCTGAGATCGCTTGTCTTTGTGGGCAGTTTCCAACAGCATTTCGTCCCTGTCATGGAAATCACCAGTGCTAGTGGGCACTTCGTGGACGTGACGGATAATGCGTTGCAGCACCCGCAATAACTTCGAGCCATGCATTCAGATCTTCGGTACTTGATGCACAGATTCGATACACAGTATGCCGACCTTCAACCATTTTACCCGTCTGCTCCGTTTTGCATGCTTTGATCCGACCATCTTCAGATAATGAGAATATCTAAATATGTTCAATTTTGATAGCTCACTAAGAAATAAGATCTGAAACCTCCCAGTTCTGACCGCAAACACAGCCTTCGTATATTTTAGCCACCATAGCTTCAAAATGATGGTTGTTTTTAATTTAGCGAGATTTTATATTCATTGTTGATTCAATCCGTTTTAACTGACGGTTTTTACGTTTTTACTCTCACTCCCACTCCCAACTTTCACGTGTCGAATTCCTATATTACAGTAACTTAAACCAAGTCAAAAAGCTCAATTTTACAAGTTTGGTCATCAATCCAATAGGCAGCCACCCCGCTCCAGGATAAGGGAGAAGGTATAAATGAGAGGAAAAAAATCTCCCACATCACCAAGGCGCACCCCGTACCCGTTTATGTGGCCCAATTACTTCATCGTTTCAAAAGTATTCATACAAATTACAGCAGGAATTGTAGAAACTTACTGGACGTAATTGTGAAAGTCCTCATACTCTCGGCATCTCGGAAAATAAAGCAAACAGCAAAAGTCGTGAGCTTGCTTCTAAGGCCAGTGAGTGGGGCACAACGTACACCCAGCTGCGAGGTGCGTCTCCGGGGCTAACGAGCCCCAGCTGTCGAAGACTTGGCAAAGCGCGCGACACTCGCCGTGCGGACGGCGGTCAGTGCAAAAGGAATGGGGATATTATAGCGAAGTTCAGCATGTCTGCGCCGCAAGTTGCATTTTAGGCGGAGCATGGAGGAATTAGCCTATTTCACGGTCCTGGATCTCCATCCCCGCGCATGTTTGGACGGGGAAACCGTTGCTTCGACGCTGGGGGCTCGTTGGCCCTGGAGACGTACCTCGCAGCTGAGCGTACGTTTGCCTTTGAAGACAACCGGCACTCTCAACTCCGTGGATTCTGGTTCTTACTATGTGCGAGGTAAATAGGTCCGCAGTTGCACAGGGTCAACTGACAGTTCAGCGGGGCTGGAGGGTAGTGTACCTCTCCAAACTGCGCCCACGCTAACTCACGGCTAGTCACACTTCCGACCATAACCAAATGCGTTACTTGTCAGCTCTCTTACTTCTGAAAGTTCTCTGAGCGCGTATTCGCTGCGCGACTTTGGCACCGATGAAAGTGGGGCGCTCAGGGGATAACGCCCGCGGACTCCATAGCAGCACCCGGGGATCACCAAGCCTCTTTATTTCCGCGCGCTCTGAAGCCACGAAGAGTTACAACTGGACACCTGTCAACTCACTCACTTTCAAACATGCTGAGGAACGTCCTCGGAAGTGAGTATACAATTCGTCTTAATGGTTTTAGAAGTCGAAATACTGTCATGCATAACATAAAGTATGTTCTTGAGGAATAACTGCGGACCAAACGACGGCAGGTACTAGGTTGGAAAAAAAAGTCCTGTAACACTCGAACAAACTGTTCTAATAAAAAAAGACATTCTGAATATTTTTACCCATGATTAGTGTAGAATGTTCTCTGAAGTATCATTTCGAACTTTAAGTCCCTCAAACGTCAAGTTATCTTCTGAATCCTACATTATAGGCTGCTGCAGCGCCACTTTGTCGTAATCGAGGGAACTAACATAGAAAGTCTTCAGGAAAGATGTCATTTGCCATGCTAACTAACCTGTTGGTATCAGCGCTTGGAAGCTGAAGCTATTTTATTTGAAGTAGGCAATGTATAGGTCAGCTATCAGCACAATGACCGTTTATTCAATCCAGTGGAAGCGCAGTCGAGCGTAATCACCAGTATGTATGTAGTGATATCGCTTGACACCGGCACAGCTGTGACGTCCATAGCCTATCCTAGTCAACTTCAGAAATGGGTGACGTCACGTTTGATTTCATTCAAAAACACTCAATTCTTTTCTACTCCTCGGCGATGGGAATACATGCGATATGTGGCGATGAAGCTACACTGAAAGATTATGAATTTCGACCAGGGATTCCACTGTACCCAGCTCAATCAGTGAATCTAGCAGCTCCTCATTACCACCTACATTGGTCCCGAATGGTTCCTTTAAAAAGGCGAAAATTTTGAAGACCAGCGTCCACTCATAAATGAGGCAGGCCTCCTCTTCTCATGGCAGCTGCCGTGGTTCGAACGAGTGAAATCGGGAAGCTGTGCGAAAGGTGGGCGCTGATCTTACTTTTAAAGGTGATTACTTTGTAGATTGGAGATGTTGTTTAGTGAAGGGATGAAGAGGATTTAGATAGCAAGTTTTGTCAAAGTGTTGCAGGACTTTTTTTCAATCTAGTAATAAGTTCTAAATAAAGAAGCAAATACCAGATATAGCCAAAACTCACCTCAAACATGAATGGGCGAGAAGCTGACTCTACTCGTCGTACACCCACGTTTTGTAAAGGAATAATACCACGAGGTTCCTTGTCTGTGGTTTGATCAAAATAATACAGGCACGAATCACTGAGGACGAACCTGACAAAAAACCGTGTTGTGCAAGTAGAAATGAACGAATGCTAGTAATTTTTCATCAGAAAAATGAAAAAGAAAGAGAAGAGAAGGGGAAAAAAAGAAAAAAAAAGGAAAAAATCTGGTTACATACACTTGAGCAAGTCAACACTGTAAATTCCGCCATTTCTGATAGCTTTTTTTGAATAGGTCTTATGGTATTCCTTTAAGAAGAAAACAAATAAGATATCAAAGATATCAAACACAAACCATCTCCGCTTCCACGATAACGGTCCAGATATAAATTGACTGCTACTCTGCTTACACAACCAGCCTTCTCGATCAGGATGCAGAAATATGTTATCGAGACGCGCCGCATCGTCACATGGTATTTGAAACTCTCGAGATCGAATTGAGTCAAATATCTGCGCCAGAGTTGCTGTGCTGACTGACCCAGCCTCCAACAGCTCCTGAAAGCCGGCAACACTATTATAGCCTTCAAGAAAAATTAATCTACCTTGTCTTGAAAGAACAAAACGATTCAATTCTGTGAGGCTGCAGATGGTTTTCTCAGAACAGTGAAAAACCCTATCTACGTAAATAATTTGGAAGCTAGAAAACCCAATTTGCGACGAGTTACAAATCACCCCCTCTGTATAACTTGTTACGTCCGTCTCTTTCTCTGTCCGGAAATTTGTTCTACCCGAAGAGCAGCTAAGGTTGGGATGGGTGGGGTATGAGAACCGATGGAAAGAGCACAAGTAACCCATCGTATTCCCCGCCCACAGCGAGCAGAACATGCACCGAAAGTTTGCGGTGCCACTGAAAAAAAATTTCTAATTCGGTTCCATAGCAGCCCAGACATGGTGAAAAGTGGACAAGGTTAGAAACGGTTGACAGACTTAATGAAGGGGACACAACTGAAGTGGGCGCGGCGTACTGGGTTGGGTGGTGCTCCACGCAAAATTCAGCAACTTGGCGAGAGCTTAAAGATCGTAAAAAATTCCATGAAGAAGATGACTTCTGGCGAGAGCCTAGCATATCTGCGGTGGGTTGAGACCCACTGACAGTGGGTGGGGCGTGTCCTAAAGCATAAGGTACTCACTTCAAAAAAATTGTGGTCTGGTTCCAGAGCACCGTATACACCGGGAATAAATGGATTAGGGTGAGGTGTTCACTGGATGATAGTGCACCCGTTGCGAGCGTAGTGAGACAAGATGGTCAGTGAGTGCTGGCCATGTGTACAGAATAAAGAAAGGCCGGCTACTAATTGATTATTCGAACATACGAAAGAATATAGGTCGGGCGAAGCTGGGCCATATCACGGAAGGAAGCCGGCGAGCCGACTGGTCATTTATAGCGATCGATAAGAAAGGACTTACATCTAGAAAAAAAAAGGTGAGTGATTACTAACAACCTCAATCGAAGAAACTGAAGAACTAAGAATCCGTAACTACGAGTACCTACCGTGTAACTACTTGTACTTATTGTTAGCTAAAACAAACGAATTTGAGTCAAAAAATCATTTCATACCTTGTTCATGCTTTGGTATCGTTCCAAGGTCGGTCGATCCTTCACATTTGGATTGTGTAACAAAGTGTTGAGCATAATACATGAATATGCAATCGTGAAACATGTGTCCGCACTATCGAATACACCTTAAAGAATATCTTTAGACGACATGATCACATATAAAGTGATGCCTAGAACATGTTTGATATCAAAAACCTGCTTCAAGAAATACTGAAAAACCAGATTATATAAAAAAAAAGAATTTTTGATGATGTTACAAGGAGTTGATTGTTTTAGAAACGGCAGCAGGGTAACAAAGACACACAACAGCTGTGGAGGTTTTGAGCTATTTGGCCTGTACTATGACTTCCGGATTCGAACTGACGTTCAAACCAACGTTTCTACCCTCAACGAGTCCTTTATCAATTTATCAGCACCGTAGGGATGATGGATGGCTTGGTGGTCTGTGCGGGAGCCGATACAGGATTTCAGCTTGTCGGCATAGTAGGTGTCGTCACTTACGAGTACACCACCTCTGCCCAAAAATAAATGACGATGAGCTAATATAATGACTGGAATCATCTGACTGTACTGCTTTGCTTCCACTTCCTTCCAGAACACGGGACTCGAATATCGGAGAGCTCTGAGACAGCAATGGGTCGCAATGGTCGCTGGACGAGGTGGTCGCATTCGGGCTAGGAACTCGGTCACTATTCGCTCTCTTGTACCACCCACGTAATTTGCCCTCTTCTCCATTAATCGGCGGCTCCACAATGCAATTGGTTTCCTTCGATTACCTCTGACAGTAATCGAAGAAAACCACCCGCTCGACGGATATTGATCGAAGCCCAGTTTGGGAAAAATACGACGACAATGGGGCGACGCCACATGCCACAACGATGCCTGCTTCAGAATCACTGTGGCATTCGAATGTGTTTTGGCCAAGGAACTGGCGTAAACCAAGCAAGATTCTGTTTTGGACGCTTCAAAATGAACTGAAGAGGAGTGAGGTCATTATTCCTTCATACGATAGGGTGGAATGGATTGGAGCACAGCTACAGCAGCATTTTCCACTAGCTGTTGAAGGACTCTGGATGGCATCGCTGGTCGAGAAGGTAGCCTGGCTGTTCCACAAGCCTCGTCCCTACACATGCCCCCTGTTTGCAAGGGCTGTACGTTTTACACCTTCACAGAATGGTCTCAGGCTGATAAACATCTGCGGTGTCCATGGAAACAACGGTGCTGTCCGGTTCGGAGAAACATTTCGCTCTTTCACTAGTTCGCTTTTGCTAATTCCCTCAACTAATAGTCTCACTCCAGCGAAACCTGTAAACTTTTGTGAAACATGGCACGAGTGAGCTACACTTTGGTTCCCCTACCAATCCGAACAGCTGCGTCGAAACGACAATGGTTCAATTCATCAGCAAGCTCCATGTTCACGACCTGAAAGACAATACGAAGTAGTATTCAGGAAAGGTGCATTAGTGAGTTTCTTAGCTGGTGTGATTACTAGCAGCTCACAACCTCCTCCAAATCTGGCCTTGTAAGTGCTGCTCCAAATATACCTTGAGAGTAATGCAATGGATTGTGAAGTGCAGATTGTACAGCCATCACTCCTGTAGCTATAATCTGTTGCACTCCCCAGCTGATAGCTATTTACGTAAGCCTAGCCATGGTCAGAACTACGTGAGGCACAAGTGTAGAATGCAATATCCTCTATTGTTTTGATGAGAAGAGGCAAGCAGATTGAGAAATGATACATGGTGAGGAGATGACTGGTAGAATGTTGTGTAAAAATGGGGAAAAAGCGGAGGAGATGTGCATAAGGATTACCTACTGGAAATAACATGGAAGCAACCAACAGGACAATGAAACAGTGAAGAGAAGTAGGGTAGGGGCGGTGTGTTGGCAAGTTTACGCAACTCATGAGGACCCCATCGAATGTCGTTTATAATTCTGCAGTGGAATGGACCGTTGTCGAGCTTGATCCAA